AGGTGCCTGGGTCACTCAGTCACCTGAGTGTCTGACTCTTGGTTTCGACTCAGGTCATGATCCTAGCGTTGTGAGAACAAGCACCACATCAGGCTCCCTCAGTGTGGAGCCTGCTTGAGATGGTCTCTCTCCATCTGTCCCTCTCCCCCACTTGTTCTCACTCTCTCTTGCTAAAAAATAAAAAAAGATGAAGCAAAATATTATGTGAAAAAAAACAGGTGCAGAACAGAGTCCATATTAAGCTACCTTTGAGCTAAGAAAAGCTTATTTTTTAAAAAAAATAAAAACAAAATTTATTACCTATAGAAGGAGGTGGGGAACTGGGTAGAAGGGACAGAGATGAAAGCTAGACCTTTCTAAATGTACCTTTATTTTGTAGATTTGACTTTGGAATCATGTAAATATTTTACAAATATAAAATAAAACTTAATCAAAATGAAAAAGTTCAAGCCCTAAAATTTGAAATATGAAAATAGGAAATATGGAAAAATAAAAAAGAAACTGTATATCAAGTATCAAGTTAGTGGCTTAATTACAAAGAGAAGTACTATTTCAAGAGGCATGATAATTAAAAAAAACTGGACATAAATCTTGAGCTCTTTTCAGTTATCATTTATTGGTAATAATACTGATACTCTTATTTGTAAATTCTTATATATGTATGTATATATATACATACATTTCTTATATATATATTAGGATATATATAATATATAGTAAAATAGAATATGTTAATGTTATAACTAAAATTTTCATTATAAGAAAAAAGAAAAATCAAAGTATTTAAATAAAAGCTCTGTCATTACAAATTTAATTTGAATATATCACTATGAACTAATATTTTCTCTTTAAAAAAATATTCCCTAGCTCTGTTCAGTAGAACGGGCTTGAAGTATTACCAACCCAGTATAAATAAGCACCCCTAGCACCCATACTGTGGCCTCCAAATACCATTTCCCACTAAAAGAGACAAGGGTTCCTTGAAGAAATAGCTGATTTCCAGTCTCAAGCAGAAAAATGGATTAGATGTGCTAGAAATATCATAGTTTTCCACAACTTTCAGAGCCATCCTAAGGCTCTGAGACAATGTAAAGATGTTCTGATTGGTTAAAAATGGAACAATTTGAGTACTAAAAAATAAGAGTAAATGCAGTAGACTTAAATCTGTCAAGTATTTTAAAAATCCATGAGTTCACAGTGATACTGAAACAAACAAATTTAACTGATCATTGTTTGAAGAAGGTTAAAGAACCAAGGATTTACCCTGTCCTCATTGTATCAGTACATCAGGGTAACCAAATAGTTGATAAGGGAAAGTGATTTTTAGAAGAATTCCAACTAATAAATGAAGATGACATGATAGACTAGGCAATGATCACCAATGGCTGCTAAAACCATTATGTGAAAAGCTAACAGAATTTTTTTTGAGAGAGAGAAAGAGAGCATGAATGGGGGAGAGGCAGAGAGACAGAGGGAGTGAGAATCTTAAACAGGCTCCACAACCAGCATGGAGCCCAACACAGGGCTCAATCCCAAAACCCTGAGATTATGACCTGAGCAGAAATCGAGTTAGATGTTTAACTGACTGAGCCACCCAGGGGCTCCGACAGGAAATTTTGTAAAGAGTAGATCATCCTGATTGAACTGAATCCACTGTTCAATCTTAACATCACCAAAAGGGCCTACAGACATACATGCATTAAAAATATTCTCTCCTCAGGGTGCCTGGGTGGCTCAGTCGGTTGGGCGTCCAACTTCAGCTCAGGTCATGATCTTGAGGTTTGTGAGTTCAAGCCCCACGTCGGGCTCTGTGCTGACAGCTCAGAGCCTGGAGCCTCCTTGAGATTCTGTGTGTGTGTCTCTCTCTGCCTTTCCCATGCTCATGCTCTGTCTCTCTCTGTCTCTCAATCATAAATAAACATTGAAAAAATTTCTTTAAAAAAATATTCTCACCTCAAATTAAATCTGAACCTAATCAACATTCTAGATCTACCAGTTTACAGGAAATACAAGGGATAGAGGAAGAACATTAAATGACATCATGAGAATTCAATAAGCAAAATCCAGAATGAGAACAGCTCTGTGTGTCTCAGTAGGTTGAACATCTGACTCTTGACTTCGGCTCAGGTCATGGTCTCACATTCATGGATTCAAGCCCCATATTGGACTCTGTGCTGGCAGCAAGGAGCCTGCTTAGGATTCTCTCTCTCTCTCTCTCTCTCTCCCCCCCCACTTGCTCTCTATCTCTCTCTCAAAATAATTAAAAATAAACTTTAAAAGTCTAGAACGAGAATTTCCACAGGAAAACCAACGGGTTTCTTCAAAAAACAGATTATAAGAACAAAAAAATTAAGAAGGAAGGGTACTTACAAATTAAAAGAGAATGAAGAGACATGTTAATTAAATGCAAAGTGTAAACCTTGTTTGAATACTGATTTGAAAAAAAAAACAACTGTAAAACTCAAACCATTTATGTGATAAATAGGTGTCAAATCTGAACATTTACTGGATATATGATGATATTGGTTAAACATTTATTTTTAGGTATAATAATGGTATGAAATTACATTTAAAAAATTAAGTTCTTTCTTTTATTTTTTAAATATTTATTTCGAAAGAGAGAGAGACACAGAGTGGCACAGAGTGGGAGAGAGCAGAGAGAGAGAGAGAGGGAGACACAGAATCTGAAGCAAGATCCAGGCTCTGAACTGTCAGCACAGAGCCCATTGCGGAGCTGGAACTCATGAACCATGGGATCATGACCTGAGCCGAAGTCAGACACTCAACCAACTGAGCTACCCAGGCACCCCTAAGTTCTTTCTTTTAGAACTCACACTGAAGTATTTATATTTTATATGATATAATGTCTGGAATTTGCCTCAAACTAACCCAAATATGTTGGTAGAATGTGAGGTGGGTGAAAGTATAGACAGAATAAGATTGTACACATACTGATAATTGTTGAAGCTGGGTAATAGATATGGGTAATAGAAGCTGGGGTTTATTATAACATTCTCTACTTTTATATGTTTTCAATTCTTCACAATATAAAATGAAAAATGAAAGGAAAATTTGCACAATAAAGGAAAATATAATCGTAGTATGTGTATGTAGCTCAGGAGTGAATATCTACATAGCTATAACAATGTAAACACTAAATATTAATTTTGCCAAGAATTGTGCTATCAACATAGAAGAAAAAGGGTAGTTTGAGAAGAGAGACAAAATAAGAAAGAAATTCTTATATGCCATAACTGGAAGTCAACAAATAATATGTAACTTCGATAAATCAAAATACATGAGAATAATGTACTATTTGGAAATATGGAACACCAGAAGAAATAGCAAAATAATTGCTGTTGTTTCAGGGGCTTAAGACTAAAGAGCAAGGAAGGGTGAGGCAGAGGAGCACAATTTTTCCTTACTAACCTGTTAGTAGTATTTGGTTTTGAAAATTATGTACTTATATTTCTTTGATAGTATTTAAAAATTTTTAAAAAATGTTTATTTATTTTTGAGAGACAGAGTGTGAGTGGGGAGGGGCAGAGAGAGGGAGACACAGAATCAGAAGCAGGGTCCAGGCTCTGAGCTGTCAGCACAGAGCCTCACAGGGGGCTCGAACTCACAAACCATGAGATCATTACCTGAGCCGAGGTCAGATGCTTAACCAACTGAGTCACCCAGGTGCCCCTTAAAAATTTTTTTTGAAGTTTATTTATTTTGAAAGAGACAGACAGCAAAAGTGGGGGAAGGGCAGAAAGAGAGAAAGGGAAAGAGAGAATCCTAAGCAGGCTCCGTGCTGGCAGTGCAGAGCCTGAGGTGGAGCTCGAATCCATAAAGCTGCACAATCATGACCTGAGCTAAAAGCAGGAGTCAGATGCTCAACCGAATCACCCAGGAACCCCTTTGATAGTATTTTATTTAAAGACTGTTTCTTAGGTCTTGGTGCTCTGGCTTTCTGCTCCCATAAAATCCATATTTTGACATAAGACTCAAGAGTAGATATTTAAACCTCAAATCTGTGCAAACTAGGGTTATCCTATCATCTTAATGGAATAGAATGTCACTACCACTAACACGGAAAGAGAGATAAAGGTATAAAAAAAAGTGAGAACAACCTAATGCTATAATATATATAGTATTATTTTTATTACGATGGGCATCTGGCCTGTATTTGAGTCAGATACCAGGGTAGTGGGATCCAGCCCCACATTGGGCTCCGTACTGAGCATGGAGCCTGCTTAAGATTCTCCCTTTCTTTCCCTCTGTCCTCTCTCCCATTCACATGCTCTTGCTCTCTAAAATAAATTTTTTTTAAAAAAGATGTGTCCTATTAGAAGGCACCACCCAAGTGTCAGAAACCTAAATCATTAGGAGGGTGTGTGCTGGTAAGAATCAACAGGGAACAACAGAGTCAGCTGGGAGTCCCATTCAGTCTTCACAAGCAAGGCTTTTGACTTTTTTTTAAGTTCCACAAGGGCAGGTACCACATCTGTTTCAGTCATTATTGGATCCCCAGCACCTAGCACAGTGCCAGATGCACAGGAGACACTCAATAAATAGTAGGTGCATGAAGGAGAAGGATATAAAAATGTCTTAGAGGCCAACCTTATGATGTAGATGTCTTATCACTTATATCTCTTGTGGTATTTCTCAGGTCTGTTCTGCCAAAAGCACTAGTCTTCCAAATATTTTAGACACTTGCCACTTGTTTTACTGCCCTCCTTAGTACCTCTCTCCTAAGACCTCCTTCCTATTAAATTCCTTGGATACCTGACATGTACAATAATGGATAAAGTTCCCTCTCCTGATCTCCACCTTCCCAGAAATGAAACACTAGCAATGTTCTCTCTCCGTGTTACAAGGTATGCTTACAGAAAAGAGCCCCTCCTCCCCTGTAGCACCAGAAGCCACTCTATTATTAAAATGTCAGGGACGCTACTATTACAGACTGCAATGCCTCATCACGTCATCTTCAACCAGCCTTTGTTCCTCATTACCTGTGCCACTTGATTGTGTTTCTTGGGGATGTTTTTCAAATGGTTAGACCACACACAGATGATGCTTCTGCCTAAAGAAAGAAAAAGAATTTGATTTACACAGTTTTCTTGATAAAAGATTATTTAAAAGAAAATCTCTGGCAATTCAAATTCCCTCCTTCAGAGAAGCATACACAGATTTGAGGCAGCAAAGTACCTATTCAAGCTCAAGGCTATTTTTTTCAGAGAAAACCTGTTTCCTGGTCTAGCCATTATGAGCTTATTCTTAATGGAGCCAGTCCTCAATATTTTCTCACATGCTACAAATGCACAATATGACAAGGTCTGCTTTCTGTTAAGATTTTAACATTAACAGGAAATAAAAGTTAATGGGTCTTGTTTTTGTTACTGAATAATAGAACACTGACATCATATACTCATTTAACTCAGCACACAGAGGGGGGAAAAAGCCAAGCGCCTGCCCTAATGAACTATAGTTTAAGCATATGGGTATTAAACAGTGTGACTAATATAAAATGATAGTGTTTCAAGTGGATTTGTTGAAAATGGGTAAATGGAAAGTTCAGGAATGGAATCTGGGAATGGGTACTGGGATTAAGACTCAGAAATATGCCATTGTGATTTCTGTCACCATCACTAACCTCCCCTACCAATTATTTTAAGGCAGATTTATGACAGAAAACTCTAGATTTTAGGGATATGGATTATGAAATAGAAAAAGTGCCTCTCTAAAAAAGAGGAGCTCCTAGTACAGAAAATAGCATAAAATGATGATGATGATAATGTATGGGCAGCAGCAACAACATTAACATTTACTAAGTGCTAACTGGGGCTCAGGCATAGGACTTTTAGAAGAAAGGGTGAAGGTTGTGATTCCTAGCACTATGTTACAATGACTACCCACCAAAAAGCATCCAAAATTAACTTTGTGATCACGTTCTGCATCAGACTTCATCTTTCTTCTTTAAGGCTACCATAGTTTCCACCCTTCTCCACTCCCATTGACACTATTCCTGTACCTTCCCTCTGCTCTCAGCCCTTGGTTTGTTATTTCTACTAGTCATGACCTTCAACTGACCTCTCCAAGTTCCCAGGTAGTTGGATTGCTATCTGGACCTCGGTTCACAGAGAAGGTGGACTTATTCCGGTAGCCATGGATGACAGGCTGGAGAAGGCAGAGCAGGAGAAGCACAACAGGACAAATGAAACCAAAGAGAACAACAGTAAAAGGAATGTAAGAATGTTCTCTCATGAGGGCAAAAAATGATGCTTACTTGGAAGGTATGGCATATTTGAAAGTGCATAGCTGAGGTCAAGACACTCCACAGATACTCCATAGTGCAAAGGAGTTTCAATCTTGCCATAAAGATTGGGGGTCAGCAAACTTTCTCAGTAGAGGGCCAGATAATAATTTTAGGCTTTGCAGGCCATGTGGTCCCTGTCACAATCACTTAACTCATCCATGCAGCGCTAAAGAAGACACGGACAATCCATAACCAAGTGAACTCAGCTGTGTTCCAATAAAACCTTATTTACAAAATAAAGCACAAGTGGGAGACAAATGTGGCCTAAGGCCCATAGTTTGCCAACCTCTGCCATAAATTAAGCTCTGCCTCTTTGAGGCCTCATTAGGTTTCCAAAATCTGAAATATTTCTAAGGAGAAAATACTGTAGTGGTTGAGAAAGTAGGCTTTGCATCCAATAGACCTGAGTATGAACCTCAGTTCTGGCAATTTCTAGATGTGTTTTTGGGCAAATCATTTAATCTTTCTGAACCTCAACATCTTCATCTGTAAAATGATAGTGCTTACCCCTCAGGGTGACTATAAACAGTAAACTAGACAATGATGCATGCTAATAACTTAGCACAGGGCTCCAGGAAGTGCCCAGGAAGTGCTGGCTGATATTATTAGCTTAATAGCTAATAAGGGGACTTGGTAGATAAAGGATAGGGAAGTGGTGGCTTTACAGAGGGTATAATAGGATGGAGAAGACAACAGAGCCCCTCAGGTCTGGGTGTAGATGTCACATTGATTCCAATGAGCATTTGGAGGTAAGACTCTAGTCTCTGTAAAATTTTCTTCTGAGCTTCAAATTTCACCTACAAAAGAATATATGTAATGAAACAAAAAGTCTTATACAGCATAACCTCAAAAGAATGGAAAACAAACAAGATAAGAGCAGGCTGTCCCACAGATTCTTGGATCATGATCTCAGCAGATAAGGAACTTATAATGAGGGAACAGCAACAGACATAAGAAAGTATTGGAAGAAAGGTCCAGAGTGAGCTCTTGTGTAACCTCTTCACTTTATGTGATCTTTCAGATTGAACACTCAACCTATAGGTCAGTGCTGTCCAGTAGAACTTGCTGTGGTAATGGAAATGTTTTATGTTGGTATTATAATCTATATAATATGGTAACCACAAGCCACACATGGTTAAGTGAGCACTTGAAATGAAACTTGTGTGACTGAAGAACTGTTTTTATCTTGTTTAATTTTAATTAACCTCTGCTATAATGTGACATATGGATTTCTACACTATGCTATACAAAATCACACAAAACAAATCACAGGGCATTAAAAGTACACTTGTCTTGGGGGGCCTAGATGACTCAACCAGTTAAGCATCCGACCTCGGCTCAGGTGATGATCCCACAGTTCGTGGACTTGAGCCCCACGTTGGGCTCTGTGCTGACACCTCAGAGCCTGGAGCCTGCTTTGGAATATGTGTTTCCCTCTCTCTCTGCCCCTCTCCTGCTCACACTCTGTCTCTCTCTCTCAAAAATAAATATACATAAATTTTTTTCACAAAGTACACTTGTCTTGATGAGCACTGTGTGTCAGGCACACATATTCCAAAACTTTATCGGTAATGCATACAGAAAAGAAAGGAACTGGGTGCCTGGGTGGCTCAGTTGGTTAAGCATCCGACTCTTGATTTTGGCTCAGGTCATAAGTTCACGGTTCATGAGTTTGAGCCCCTGCATCAGGCTCTGTGCCAACAGTGCAGAGCCTGATTGGGATTCTCTTTTTGTCTCCCTCTCTCTCTGCCCCCCGGCCCTCCCCCACTCTGACACGCACTTTCTCTCTCAAAATAAATAAAAAAAAAAAAAGGAACCTAACAAAAAGAGTAATACAGTTTTCCGCATGTTAAATGATTGAGAAATGTATAGATGTATACCACAAGGATGGCACTTTACCCTGACAAAGACCTAAGTTTTCTTGTGGAAGTGTCTGTCCACTTGTGAATTATCATGAAGTGGTAAAAGGAGGGTTGTGTGTCACACACAGAAAGATCTAGCAGCAGATGTGGCTGAGTGTTGTTCATAACACACTCGGTGCACTGTGGTAACCAGTAGACATTTGAGGTATGTGTGCATGTTCACTTTATGTATTCTTATGCAGCTCAGTTCTACAGGGTGAAGTTTCTTTCTTTCATCTGGTGTTTCTTGTGGACGAAATCACTCCTAAGCCAATGTGAAATGTGCGTTATGTTCAAATTGTTCCCTGATCTATCAATCCCCTTGAAACAAATTTCCATTTTTAAAGCAAGCATTATAGCAGAATTGACTGTATTTAAAATCAAAGAGCCACATGTAGCTTAGTGGCTACTGTGTTAGAAAGTGCAGCTATATATAAAGCAGCAAGAGTACTTGCTACTCACACATACAGAGCTACAAGAATAACAAACAAGCAAGAGAGAAAGGAAAAGGCATTTCGATATATGGCTACAGAGTTTGGAAGACATAACAAGCGTAAAGTTAAAATTTCATTAGCATTTTAAGCACCTGCTCGAGCATCTGGGTAGAGCTGTCCAGTCAAGGTCCCTACAAGTCTGGCACCATTCACCCTGACAGAACGGAGGAGTGAAGACTTAAGCTGGGTACCAACCTTGAGCTGTTCCTCATAGCTCAGCCTCCAGAGTGGCATCACAACATCAGCCAGCCTTAAATAAAATAATTCAGGGACTTCATTCATTATATAAATATGTACTGATTACCTACTATGCATAAGTACTTCCTGCCACCATTTTTTTCTGGCATTTTGCTTATTCAGAAAACCTAACTCTCATGTCCCTGGGGAGATACAGTCTAGAAGAAGAGCCCATTTTGGCGTTGTCTACTTAACAAAGCAGAACAGATGGGCATACTTAATATAAGAAAAATCCAGATTTATCAGGAGGTAATTAATCATATTACAAAACGCTTCACTGTTGGGTTCCTTTAAATAGCTCACCTCCCTAATGCTTTTAAAATATAATTTGATTTAGAAAATACATTTGTTGCATAAATTGAGGTATATTTGTGTTTGCATGGCTGCAACAGGACTATTCATTTGTAAGCCATCTGATCTCTCTTTGGATCCCTGATTTTCAGCATACCTGCCCTGGACCTTTTCTTAGAGACAAGGTCCCAGTTTAGGATTTCATTTCTGTGAAAAACACACGTAGAGGCAAGGAGACTATTTTCTGCCATCACAAAGCATTTCCATCAATGTTCTTCCAATGCCTTCAAGTTTGTCCTGGGTATCATAATTTGGGTGCCCCCCCCCCTTTGAATCCTTGCAATGCCATGTTAATTACATCAGACATACAGAATTTTAGTAAGCCCAGAGATTCAGACTTAATAAGGGGAAAGGATATCAGCCTGGGCCTTAACTTTCCTCCCAGGAACCATTGAGTTGTCCAAGATGGCTTGGTTTCTTCTGACTTTTCTGTCCTCTTTGACACTTCTTGCCTATCACATGGGTGAAGTTTTCCTTACATGCTCTACCCAAAAAGAGCTGTGACCAACCTGAAGGTACTGTGCCATACCAGGGAAGCAGTCCTCATTTGGAGATGAGATCCACCCTGGAGAAGAAACACCCCGGGCTATGCATTGGGACTCTTCTCTTAATCCCTGCCAAGCACTGAAATATTGAAATTCACCTGCATGAAAGGTGAACAAACAGAAATTGGGAAACAGAAGCACAACTCCCAAACCCCTTCATTCATTTACAAACCCTTATGGAAACTCAGCACCCAGCACAGTGCCTGGCAGAGTCAATACTTGGTAAAAGCAGGCCTGCTGAAAGGAACTGAATTACTGCATGTCAGGCACTGGCTTAGGTTCTCACAATAAAAAGGTAAGAAAAATACATTCTTTGTCCTCCAGGGAAGAACTCAACTCCCTTGGATACACTTCTATGGCTAATCCCTGTTTATATTCTACCCTCCCACCCAAAAACCAATCAGCCAACTAATATTTAGTAAGTGCTGACTACGTGCAAGGTACTGTGCCACACAAGATATGACAAGGGTCACAAAGGTTACAATCTAATTGAGAAGTTTAAGTGCAGATGCAGGAAAAGACAATAATAAATAACACAATATGTTTAGTTCCTGACAAATGCTCTTCCCAGAGCAGGTAAGCCTTGCACCAGGTCTAAAAGGATGTGGTAGATGAATCAGGTGTTTGTAGGACAATGGCTAGACCAGTCTGGCTAAAACAGTCATTCATATTAGGGAATAGAGGAGATGAGGCTGAAAACTTACATCAAAGTGAGATCTGGAAGAGCTTTAATGCCTGAATAAAATACGGACATTATTGTAAAGGCAACAGTGAGTTGAGGGAGGCTTATGTAGAGAAGACGAAATAGGGATGTTAATAAAAAGCAAGTTCATGGTGGCTCAGTAGGTTAAGCGTCTGACTCTTGATTTTGGCTCAGGTCCTGATCTCACAGTTTGAACCCCATGTAGGGCTCTGTGCTGGCAGCATGGAGCCTGCTTGGGATTCTCTCTCGCTCGCTCGCTCGCTCAAAAATAAATAAACTTTTTTAATGTTTATTTCTTTTTGAGAGATAAACTTTTTTTAAAAAAAGTTTGTGTTTATGGGGCACCTGGGTGGCTTAGTCAGTTAAGTGTCTGATGTCAGCTCAGGTCACGATCTCACGGTTCGTGGGCTAGAGGCCCACATGAGGCTCTGTGCTGACAGCTCAGAGCTTGGAGCCTGCTTCGGATTCTGTGTCTCCCCCTCTCTCTGCCCCTCCCCTGCCCGTGCTCTCTCTTTCTCTCAAAAATGAAAAAAACATTAAAAATAGTTTTTAAAAAGTTTGTGTTTGATGCATGTGTTTGCAATTGTAAGGAAAGTATCCAAGTGGAAATGTCTAACAAGTAAGTACAGAAGCAGTACTACAAGTCATGAGAGAAGTCAGGGCTAGAGATTTGGTTGAATGTCTATAAGAAATACAAGGTGTAAGATTCTTTAAAAAAATAGCTTTCAGTAAATAGAAGAGCAAAAGGCCAATGACTACGTCTAGGAAAAAGGCAATATCTGGAGAATAAGAAGAGATGCTGGTGACCCAGAAGAACATGGAGCTTAGAGGCCAAGGGAGATGCCTTTAGGTAAGGCACTGACATATCCAGTATGTCTGAGGCCAAAGAAAGAAGGGAATAAGGCAATAGTAAGTGGCAGACAGGAGGGACAAATGAAGGTTTCAGATCCTAGAAGGCAGCAGACCTGGGTGGTCCCCTGGCTCCACCACTTACTAGTTACTTGGCAAGTTAACCATTCCATATCACCTTTCTTTTTTTCATATGTAAAATGGAGACAATAATCATTCCTACCTCATATAGTGGTTATAAGAATTAAATAAAGGATAAATAATAAAAAGTAGCCAGCAGAGGATTAAATAGAGATGAAGTTTGGAAAGGTCTGAGCACAGCATCTAGCATCTGGCAAAAACTCAGTATGTGTCATGATGTTTAAAGACAGTATGGGACTGGGTAGGGGGAGCAAGATTGGAGGGGGTGGGGGGGGTTGAAGTAAGAGTAACTAAATGGCAAAAGCTGTAATAGTTAGAACAGGTGAGGGCCTCTTATTGGAAGGAAGAAGGAATCACTTTTCCTCTAACATGGGACTCAGTGTTTTGCCTATTTACCTTATGGTGCCTGATCACTGCTGTGTAACTTGTTTGAGCACCAAGAATATGTGAATGGAGTTGGCTGGACACCTTAATGATGAGCTGTGAAATTACATTTTTGCCCTTGTCCTCTACCTTGGATTACATCCCAATTTTAAGTCATACCTAATTCAGAATACACACACACACACACACACACACACCCCTCCAATGTATGTAATAGATTTATTAACAAAGATTCCTCCATGGCTTCCTCTTATTACTGTGAAATTAGTATTCCATGACCACTAGGTAACTTAAAGGATGATGACATGGGTGCTATAATATTTAGCCCATATACCATTTTGTGTGTTTACAAAGTACTAAAGAAAGCAACTGTCATAACATGGAAGCATTTGGGAGGAATTTCAAATTTCTAACAAAACAGATTTTAGCTGTCCCAAAGTTCAGGTGTTAATACATAGCACCCTCCACCCAATTTACTCCCAGAATGAGGCAAGTCGTTAAGAACACGAGCTTTGGAGCCATATTCTAACCTCAGCTCCGCCTCTTAAAAGCTATGTGACTTTGGGCAAGTTACTTAAGCACTAGGAATCTCAGTGTCACCACCTATCAAAACAGGACTAGCAACACTTACCTTTCAGGATTGTGCTAAGAATTAAACAAACTCATACATATGAAGTGCCAGGGCTTTGCCTAACATAGCAGGCATTCAACACAAGTTGCTGAACTTCCTTAGGCTCTGATATGAAGCACATCACTTAACTTCTTCATGGTTCTACGTGTCACACCTACAAAACTAGTAGCATGTAATAAAGTATGCAAGTGCTGTTAAGATAAGTAAAATTATGTGGGAAACTTAAACAAAACACAACATAATATTCTGCATTAGTGCCTGTTAGAATGTGGTGAGCTTAAGGCCTGCCCTGGACCACCTATTAATACTATCAAGAGCGTGTGACCTGTAATAAACAGTTTTTTAAACTGACACAAAAGTATGTATTGATATGAAGAAAAGCAAAGGCCAGAGAGAGGAAATGAGTGAAGAGGTAAGAGACAAAGAATAAGGAATGGGCACTAGGAGGGGAGGAGGAGGTACACATTGCAGGAAGATGGAGTCATACTGGCCCCTTCTTGTGCAGGCTCATTTAAGGATTGGCAGAGAAGGGAAAGGAGAGCTGAGGATTGAAGACAGCTATCCATACCCCCACAACATTCAAAAAATTTTTGAGTGTATGGGTCCTCTCACTGGTGAATGCCACCATGACTGTGCTCCACTTGTTCTGTACCCCCCCCCCAAGTAGGAGGGCCCTTGTCCATCTAGGTTTCTTCCACCAAATCATCAGATATGGTCTCAAATAGGACCCTACCATTGCCAACCAGTCATCTTTCCTGGTAAAGTAAGCCTTTCATCATATTAATTTCTACAGTGAAATATGGTTTTCAGGGCAAAATAATACCAAAGTGAATTATATTTATTTGTTTCTTGATGTCAGAGGGGGCATTCACCCACAGAAAAGACTGTTTTCTTTTCATAGCTTTTCCTGTTTTAAATAAATGCTTGGGTTAAAAAAAAAAGTGTGAAATCTGCTCAGTTTCTACCTCAGGAATTAATTGGAAAGGGACTCAGGGTCCAGAGCTACCAGATAGGAAGGTAGACTAAGTCTCTAGGGCTAGGATAGCTAACCTGCCTGAAATACTCAGAGAGGTTCCAATATGAAGACTATGTGGTAGGTCTGATCCGTGTGGGGTCAAGGAGCTTCTTCAAGCAAGGATCCTGCTTCCACTCTCTGTTCACTTTTCCTTCAGTTAGCCTAGTCCCAGACACAGTTCCTGGATAAACCAGACAGACATAAGGGTGTAGTGCTGAGTCCTCACTGAAACCCATGTTCAGTCTGTTCCTTACCCAACCAAACCGCTTCACCAGCCTCTCCACCCACCTCTTCTTTGGGCAAGTTCTACCCACCTTGTCTGTAATTAAGACTGTCACTGAATTTGGGCGGGGTGTGCAGAGCCAGGGGAGGGCTGAGGTCAGAGGCTGACGCAGGGCTGGACACAACCTCGTATGGAGAACATAGTAGGTCCCTTTGGCGTCCCAGCCGGCCTGCTCAATGCCCCGCCCCGCGCGCAGATTGGCTCGGTAAGAAGTTTTCTGTACAGTGAGGGTTCAATCGGGATTTCCAAGCTCTCCACGTACGCCCCATACCTTTGCAACCAATAAATCCTCTTACGAACCTGAGGCAGCAAACGAAAAAGCCAGCCAACGGCCTGAATAGCTGCTGCTGGGAGAGTCACTTCCTGGTACGCAGCACGGCTCAACTCCCGACGCACGCTCAGCCAGCCAAGGGCAGTGCGCGACGGGACGCGGGGCTCCTCCCAGGCGCCAGGCAGCCGACCCTATCCCGGGCAGCCGGTTTCGGGCGGCCCATCTCCTTACTTTGTCGGAGCACTTCTCTAGAAACCTTCCTCCAAATCACTCAACGCCCCGTTATCTCTCCTCCCCCGCATGCCCTTCCTAATGTTTCTCCACGAGGTCCCCTCTCCTCCTTTCCCAGCGACCCCGCCCACCGCCAGCACTTCCCCTCGTCCCATTGGTGGATCTGGGTAAGTGTTAACAGTGTGCTACCCACCTCTGGAAAGCTTGCGATTTAAGTCAACCAAAATTGCAGGCTCAGATCCACAATGGGTTGGAAGATTGAGAGATGAAGGGCGGGGTGGTTTCTTCAAATCGCAATCTTTCGTAAAAGTGGGCCCTATTAGGGGCTCTGGGGTTTTTCAGGCATTAGTTCCCCTATTTTATATTGCTTCAGAAAAGTGTCAGGTTCTTATGACAAGATAAACCTGGTTTCTGAAGTGGATCCCACGCAGGACTACTAAATCCTAAAACCTCGGGCAAGAATTGTTTTTCAGCTTCAAACTACAGAAGGAGACTAGCTAGCTAGATACCACTAATTCATTTGCCAGCTCCTGGACTACATTCAGTGATTCATTTTTAGAGAGGTCAGGAGCCCAGCCAAAGGAGTAAGAGAATGTTGAAGTATGCACACACATGTATGCTGGAAAAAAAATTGTTTTGAATAGAATTAAAATTTACAACAAAGTAAATCTACATTAAATAACAATTTTTATGTTTTTTAAAAAGTTTATTTATTTTGAGAGAAAGAGTGGTGGAGGGGCAGAGAGAGGGAGACAGGATCGCAAGCAGGCTCCACATTATCGGTACAGGTCCTGATGTGGGGATTGAACCCAAGAACCATGAGATTATGACCTGAGCTGAAGTCAGAGGTCTAACGGGCTGAGCCACCCAGGCTCCCCAATTTTTATATTTAATAGTAATCAGGCTTTAGTGGAAATCACTTTATAGCCAACATTTTAGTTATTTATTCAAAACATAACATGCTTATTATGCACAAGGCAATGCATTAGCTATAGTGAGTACAGCAGTATGTTAAACATGGCCAAGTAGCTCAAATAACAGCAAACATTAAGTCAACCAGACCAAAGTTCACCAGTTATAAGCTGTGTGAACTTGGGAAAGTTATTTAATTGCTCAGTACCTCAGTTTCCTCATCTGAAAAAAATGTCCATAATAATTGCACCTACCTCACAGGGTTGTGATAAAGATTAAATAAGTTAATATATGTAAAGTACTTAGAACACAGTAAGCACACATTCGATAAGTGTTAGCTATCACCGTCCAAAAATAATTTTAGATACTGTGTATGTATACACACATGCACACACTTGCATATATATCCTTTCAAAAAGAGAGAGAGAGAAAAGAAAGAGAGAGAGTTCTTTTACTTTCCATTCCAAAGTCTTGAGTAGGTAAATGCTTGATTTAATTTAAGGCTCTCCTAACCACTCTAGTGGTTCTTAAGTACTGTTGGAACTCAAACCATTGCTTCAGATTTCTAGGCCTGCACATTACTATCAAGTGAGACCAGGATGGAGAATGCACCTTTGTTTCTCTTCTCCCTTTCTCTTCTTTTAGTCCCCTTTTATGTGGATAATGCGCTTCATTCCTTTCCTCACTCTTTTTCCCTTTTCTTCTCCTTCCCATGCCCTTCTGCTCCATTATCAGTTTCTCATCTTGGCATTCATTGTTGTGCCTAGCACAGAGCCAGGTGCCCTAATAGGAACTCAATGAATATTTGGTGAATTAAATTGAATCCTCCCCTTGTCTACCTGAAAGGGAAAGGATGTATTTTCATTCACTCCCATCCCCACTTGTTCCGAGCATCCAAGTGAACTCCTTAAAACAAGTCTGTCATTTGAGAAGGCAGAACCCTGAGGGGTAAAGAGAGAAAAGAGATTAAGGAAGCTATAATGTAATTATTTAGCTATTAACCCTTTTATATTTATTTAATCAGATAAAGCATGTTCTTCTATAAAAGAGAAATCATTTTTTCTCTTTTTTTTCATTTTTGTAAGAGGGGACATAAATATCCCATATTATAGAAAAGTTTGGACTCTTCAACTGGGAAGTCAATAAATGGACATGTAATCAGTGACAAGCAATATTGTTAAATTAAATAAGAGCTGAAACCAAGATAGCCTTTGCTTAACTTTATTAATAATCAGCAAACCAAATCACAAGAAAGTGAAGTCTCTAGAAATTTGTGAAACGTTCTCATTTTGATCCAAAGAAAAGATTTCTGAGAGGCTACAGCATTACCTTTCAGAAATAACATGTATTAAAATCACTTCCAAGGGCACCTGGGTGGCTCAGTCGGTTAAGCATCTGACTCTTGATTTCAACTCAGGTCATGATCTCATGGTTCATGGGATCAAGCCCTGAGTCAGGCTCTGTGCTGACAGCATGGACCCTACTTGGAGTTCTCTGTCTCTCCCCCACCCTTTCTGCCCCTCCCCTGCTCACATGCACAAGAGCACTTTCTCTCTCAGAGTAAACATTTTTAAAAAATCACTTCCATTAACCAGATTCTCCATTAGTGACATTCTTGCCCTTAGGACTTTGTTAGAGGCTGTGAGGGATAAATGCACAGACCACACCCTCTAAATTGTGTGACCTGATGGGAAGACTCACAACAGAAGACTACACAGCCTTGGGCTGTGGTAATTCTAGCAAAGCGGTATATCATCTTTATAGTCAGGGAAGGAAAAGAATGTGAAAATTGAGTTGAATGCATAGGATTTGAATAACCCGAGGAGAGGTAGGAGCTGCAGCAGGAAAACTTGAATGAGCAATTTGTGTCCAAGGCCCAGGAGGAGGCAGGCCAGGCTAGATGGGAAAGTTGTGCTGAAGTCATTAGTGATCTGGTTGATCAGGTCAATAGGTCAGAGAAGATAATGAAGGGCCCGGAGTGCTGGATGAGGGGTTTGATCTAGTTTCCTTAACAACAGGGAGCTAATGAAGAGTTTGGCATGAGATGTTTCTGGAACAGAATTCTAGATGATGTGTGTAGGACAGATTTCAGGGTGGAGTGACCTGAAAGCTGAGGGAGACTGCTGCAGTCATCCAGATGGGAGGTGCTAAGTCTCTGTACTATGGCAGATTACACTGAGTTCTGCAAGAATCTCTCAAAGTGTGGACCAGGGCCCATCTGAAATGTAATCCACTGGGGTGATTGTAACAAATGGGGATTCTGAGCCCCACCCCACACCTAGAGAATAGAAATCTCAGAGGGATAAGGCTCAGAAATATTTGGGTTTGTAACAAGCACTGAAGCTGATACCCATTAAAATTTGAGCCCTACCACCATGCATCAACTAAAATACCAGATGAATTAGTTGAAAGTCAAAAAAAATCAAAGCATAAAAGCTCTAAAACTGAACACAGATAGTTATGCATTTGAAATTTGTATATAGGAGGACTTTACTAAACTGATAGCCAGTAGGGAAAAAAAAAAAAACACCAAGTAGGTAAAGTTTACTACATAAGCCTTAAGAATTATATATATGACAAAGATAAACACATTAAATAATAAACAACAAACAGAAAAAGATACACAAGTATGGCAGAAAGTCACTATCTTGAGTGTATAAGGAGCTTATATAAACTGATAAGAAAAATACAGCGACCCTAACAGAGACCTTGGCAAAGGTTTGAAGAGATAATTCACAGAAAAAGAAATATAAATAACCAAAAAGTACTTCTATTAACCAGATTCTCCATTAATCACATTACTACCTCACTAGTAATGCCTGAACATCCAAAGCATATTGATTGGCAAAGATTTTAAAAGATCTGTTATTCCTTGAAGTAGACTACGGACAGTGAGACAGGTGCTCTCACACATTGCTGGTGGGATTGTAAACTGATACAAACTTCTTGGAAAGCAATTAGAATAAAAAATCTTTTATTTATTTATTTATTTATTTTAGAAAGAGAGAGCACAAGCGAGGGAGAGGGACAGAGGGGGAGAGAGAGAGAGAAAGAGAGAGAGAGATCTTAAGAGGCTCAGATTTAGTGTCTCTGAGCACAGAGCCTGATGTGGGGCTCAATCCCATGACCCTGGGATCATGACTTGAACCAAAATCAAGAGCCATTGAGCCACCCAAGCACCCCTCAAGAATTTTTAAAATATCACACCATTTGCCCCAGAAATTCCACCTCTGAGAATCTATCTATTCTAAGGAGATAGAGATGTGAACAACAATATATGCCCAAAGCGTCTCACAGTTAAAAATTAAAAAGCATCTTCAAAGTCCAACATTAGAAAAACAGGGAATGATTACATAAAATACGGTCTATTCATAGACTATTGCAGAAACACTAAAAATTACATGGTATGGTGTTAGGAGTCTGAATGGCATTACCCTTTGGGTGTGGGTAGTAGCTGGCAGGGGTAATGTGGGGGCTTCTGAGGTGCTGGTAATATTCTATTTCCTCATCTGGGTGCTGGCTACAGAGCTGTGTTCACTTTGTGAAAATTTATCAGTCTGTACTCTTAATATGTGCATTTTTCTGTATGTATGTTACACTTTAGTAAAAATTTAACTTAAAATTGTGCCTCTGAAAAGTTGGTAATGACATGGAAATATGTGTAGAAGACAGCCTTAAATGAAAAAGGCAGGATAAAGAATTATGCATTCAGTATGACCATAAATGTATAAAGCAAAAAAATGCTTTGGAAATTAATACACCAACTGTTTACAGCTGTTGCCTCTAGATAGTGGGCTTAGGAAAGATTCATTTGTCAGCTTCTTTTTCATTTCTGTACTTTCCAAAAAAAATTTTTTTACAATGGATAGGCATTACATTGATAATAAGGAAAAGTAGTAAAATATCAGAGGAAAAAAAGTGAATTGAAGCATCTTAGTAAAGCCCTCATAGTCCAGACTGTTCGACTGAAAACCATATTTTATTAGTTCCTGTGGAAGTGATTTAGACTCTGAGGGATCTAACAAGAAGCAGATTTATAGGATACTGGCTTACAAGCCAAATGCCAGTGAGGAATATACTTTCTAGTGACTGAAATATTCTATCTAGTGTTATACCTACCAGCTATTTATGTACCAGAGAAACCAAACTGA